TTTTTTGTCTTTTTCGTGACCGGTAAGGGGATCACAACCCTTGGCTTGGTGTCGCCCGCACCACGCTCAGCCAGTGAGCACACCGGCCATTCCTATATAGGATCCGAACCCGCGGCAGGAGCGTTGCTGCGCTCCCAGCGCCACACTCTCCCGAGTGCGCCACGGGGTTGGCCCTGGAATGAATCTTGAATACAAACTAATGTTATAGGTTAAACTCTTTGTGTTGAAAAAAAAAGTGGCTTTTGTTCAGGAGCCAGGCTGCTATCTTTGTCGTAAAATGGACCTTCTGATGTGCAGGAATTTCTGCACATAGATGGATGACATTTATGATATTTGATGAAGAAATTATCTTGCAGTAGATAATATAATGATGTCAGAGGAAACTCTCCAGAGAAAGATCATCTAATTTCAAAGAGCCACCTTACCACCTACTCCTTGTATGACTATCAGCAGATTACTTAACCTCCCTGTACCTTAATGTCTTGCAAGCAAAACACCAAATACCATCAATTTGTAGAATTGTTATGGTGATTAAATGAATGTTTTACAAGTAACACAAAGTCTCTGGCATAGAAGGTACTTCATGTCAGTCTCTTTTTCAAAGACTAAATCCCCTTTGTTTTATAAATTCAAAACAAAAATATATGAGGATAATGAAAGCAGAAAATGAGATCATTCCTACAGTGCATTGTTTATTGTGAGACAACCATATGCCAATTGGTTTGTTTTTGTATTACAATTAAATTTATGTCACACAAGATCTGGGTTGGCTTCCTAAGAACAGCAGGATACAATTTAAGGCATGATAGTAATATTTGACATATGTCATTTCTCGCCATAGTCAACCTATGGACTAAGCCCATTCTTGACTATATCAGAACTCATTTTGCTAATTAGTCCCAAGGGCATCTGTTTCTCATAGCACACTGCAAGAAAAGAAGGAAAGGTTCTCCCAAACACTCTCACAAACACAAACATAACCCCTCAATTTGAACAAAGATTTCATGATACATGCTTTGTATTTTTATAACACCCTTTTATTTCTAGCATGCTGAAATTTTCACCAAGAACATATTTGAAATGCCAGTAGTAGAGATTATCTAGCTTTTAAAATGTGGACACTTTATTTTACCAGTACTCAAATCTGCAAGCAATTAATTCACTGTCAAGTGGCTCTTCTAGAATTCCTTAAATATGATAAAGGCAGCTTTTTCAAAAATCATATAAAAGCACTGCAGCTCAAGGAAAAAGGTCTATTTTCTTGTTTGTGTCAAAATCTATAGCTAATAAAAATGTTACTAAATAAATGTTTACTATAATCCAAATACATTGCTCAGTTTGAAGGACAGCATGATGCTGATGCTTATGACTATCTAACAGTCACTATGATAAACTGTTTCACAGTGGCTGAAATAAACAGATACGATGGGGAAGACCACTAGCGAACAACCTGAGGGCCACAGTTTCAACAGCACTCACATTGTTGAATCCACTCGGCAGCATTTTCAGGTTGCATTTATAGGAACGCATATAGAGTCCATATGACAATTACATTCATATTCTGCATTAGCTAGAAAGGAAGGTGACAGCGATCTGTTCTATAGATCTGTACCCATCTTTCCTATTCTGTTCTATGACATTCCTCCATACTTCTATTTTAAATTTTCAAAAAGCACCAAGATTTTTCACACTTTTATTCCTTTCAAGCACCTGGATGCCCAAAAATCCAATGCTGCATTCACAGAGGAGAAATGAAGCAACATTATGCAAAGTTTAAAATGAAGACGTAGCTCCAAACTCGTGCTTATGAGCCAAATCCTGATTCCAAAGAACATCTCCGCTCTCCAACTACAAAATGTTAAGTGCTAAAGAATGTGCCCTATCCTAGAAATCACAGATAATTAATACTTTAATTTAACATCAGCCATTGAAAAGAAAATGAATGGGAGAAGGACCCCAAGAAAATTATCTAAACTACAATGAATTTGATCTTGGAAGCTCAATCAGACTCCAACTAACTTAGATTTGTCTTTGTTGACTATGAGTCTAAAAACAGCAAAGCATTTATTAGACCTGCAGTAGCTTAAGAGAACATACCTTTCAACTACAGGCATGATATGGGATGTATTTTCTTGCCATTAAAAAAAAATGGACAAATATTTTCTCTTGACAATAAAGTTTCAAGATAAATTTGTCCTGAAATTCCACAGCCTATCATCCTTTCTGTAACATGTCAAAAGATTCACTGACTTTTTCTTTTGCTCGTATTATTCCATTTAACAGATGTTTCATTATAAAGGGCTTATACACACAGTTCTATTCCATAAGCAATAGATTCTTTTAAAGCATTGGGGGGAAAAAAACTTCAAAGTCAATACAAAAACAAAAGTGGCGATATGTTTCATATGGCTAAAATAACTGGAAGCAGTTCATCATTGTCTCATCAGAGTAATGCTTCCCCTAATCTCTATGTAATGGGAAAACAAATTAACTTGTTCTAGTTATTCACATGAGTACCTGTTTCCTGTGGAGCAATACTGGGAGCAAGAGAGAGAGGGTTAGCCCTATTTTACGTTTGCTAGACCTTCTGAAGTTAGTGCTCTGACTTTGGTTGGTCAGCAGGAAAGCTTTACTATGGGAACAAGGCACTGTGAATGTACAATGACTGGCGGTGCACCTGTGTACAAGGCTGTCCTCGCTTCTGTGAGGACTAGAACCACATACCTGTGGTTGCATGAAATACCCAAAGTACAGCTTCATCTGTTCTAGATAATTGAGCTATTGGCACTGAAGAAAGGCAAAATTCAGCAAATATTAGGTCAGATACAACCATGTGCACTACTTTTAATTTGTAGACTCATTACCATAAACTATTAGATTTAGTTCAATTTACTTCCTATATTTGTTTTCATAAGCTGTTAAGCCTATAAGCACTAATAAATGAATATCACTTGCAATCCATAAGCAGCAAAGGTCAGCTTTTTATAACTTAAGGCAACTTTCTGTATCTTCCATTTGCAAAATGCCTTATAAAATATGTCAAGGTCAGGGGCCGGCCCGGTGGCGCACTGCTACAGTGCACCGCTTGGGAAGCGCGGCGGCGCTCCCGCCGAGGGTTCGGATCCCACATACGGACTGGCCGCTCACTGGCTGAGCGAGGTGTGGGAGCAACACCGAGGGTTGCGATCCCCAGGACTAACCTGCTTCTCTAAGATGCCACATATTAAATATAGATTCCCTTAAATACTAAAAACTTACCAAGACAACCACTGAGGCAGTACTCTGTGAAATCCAGCCTTGCCACTCACAGTCAGTGAAAAGTATTTCCTTTCTGGATTACTTGGTAACATCGCTCAAGGAGCTAATATTATTTTTTCTTAATTATTGTTCAGCATAGTTTATATCGTTTATCATATTTAAGTCACAAAATGAGACACTCAGTATAGCAGCCTTTTAGAATTAATGGAGTTATTATTAATCCAGGACATGTGGAAATTTTCTTCAGCTAAGCTTTGTGTCACATGGGGTATCAGGCTGAAGGAGGTCACCTTATTTTGTGAAGGAACCCCGGTGACTGATCAGCTTTATTGTTCTCTATGCCTCCCTATGAAGAGAGGAGTTTTTAGTAAGTTGTATTTAATTCCATTTTATGTGGAGACATAGCATGTGGTAATACTAGGAATTAATGAAAGTCTCAGGACACATCACTCAATGACGGCAGGTCTGTTAAAGAATCATGAAGAAAGTCTTAATTCAATCCCATTTTTTAAATGCAACATAGAAATATACTTCAAACGCTACATTTTTAAAACAGGAGAAAGTAGATAAAATAGTGAGTAGCTCCTGGAGAGCTACTAGATACAGTGTACCAAAGTTAGTACTATCCTAGAGACACATTGTTGATTTTAAGTAGCATTTCTCATTATGGATTGATTTATTTGTTTATTTTGGAGGTAAAGCAGTCAAGACCTCAGTCCTTGGACTTAGACCTGAGTTCCAATTCCAGTTCCAGATTTTTCTTCTACAAAGTGTGGATAATCATAGTACCCAGGACAGAACAAACAGGATAGAACACACGTAAAGCACTTAGCATAGTAAGTGGTACATTCTACTGAATGAATGTTAAAGACCTTGGAAGGTAGATCTAACAGAAAGTGTAGTTTTACTGGTTATTTCTGGAATTTATTATATTTTGGACATTTTGTTAATTGCACATATTGGGCACCTCAGAGTGATATTGAAGGATAGTGTTTTCAGCTATACTCGAAGAAGGTGTAAGTCATAATTATGTACAACAGTATCTCTGTATAATCATAAGCATGCTCCTGAAGATGTCCGTAGTAATCTGTCTGCAGATGAATATGAAACTCTTACATGTGTTTGTTATAAATCCATATTTTGCTTGATTCATCTATTATTATTATCCCACCTTATCTGCAAAAATCAATACATATATTATTCATTGAGGAAATATGTAAAAGATCCTAATAAAACAAATAGACCGTATGACATCTCAGCTATGGGGCTAGAATGTGAATTATTTTGTTATGCTACCTGTTTGGTGACAGTGTTGATCTGAATTTACCTGCTGACGTGGTTCACAAGACGTGTCTGCAATAACAGATCTCTTCCTGGCAGGAGATTGTCACAGATGAGATGCTGGTTAGAACGGACTGCGACCCCATGGCACACACAGAGTGAGCACAACACGTCCAGAACCTGAAAAGAGAAATGACTTTCAGCAGTTCTAATTCCCCTTTTAGATTCAGGCATGGATAGCATGTTTCACCAAGTTAACACCTTCCCTCCAGTTACATCTGACTCAGTCATTGAAACAGCACAGCATGTGTCCCACTGATTTTCCAACTTTCCTTCATATGCAAACTGAGAACTGTCCATGCTCCCCCTGATGCTTTGAATAAACACCACACAATACTATGTGATTAAAATTAAGAGATTAAAAAACACTCAAACCTTGACACACTTTTTAAAATGTTCTAATTCCCCTTTTAGATTCAGGCATGGATAGCATGTTTCACCAAGTTAACACCTTCCCTCCAGTTACATCTGACTCAGCCATTGAAACGGGACAGCATGTGTCCCACTGATTTTCCAACTTTCCTTCATATGCAAACTGAGAACTGTCCATGCTCCCCCTGATGCTTTGAATAAACACCACATAATACTATGTGATTAAAATTAAGAGATTAAAAAACACTCAAACCTTGACACACTTTTTAAAATATATTTAAAATGATTCCAGAATTCATATGTGAAAATAAAATGGTTCACTTACTTTGTGATTTCTTCCATGCTTATCTAAAAGTGAGATAATGGATTTAATATGTCCTTCCTTAATAATATTTAGAGCTTCCGGACTTTCTACTAACACACAGTGTAAAACTTCGAGAATACCTATGATAAAACAAAAAAAGGAAAAAATATATGATTAATCAGTCTGCCATCACCAGCGTCTTCCTTTGTTCCTTTCCCTGTGTTCATTCCATTCAAAATATAATTATTTTGTGCTCAATGTGTTTGTCACAGGGCACTGTAATAGGTGACTGGTGGGGCTTGGGAGATAAAATCACAGTAGAGGGTAAAAAGGCAAATGACTGACATACAGTGTCTAGCTGAGGACGCAGGTAATTCTACCTGGGGAAAAAATGTAAGAAAGTAACATGTAGGTGGGGCCTAAAAGAATACATGCATCCTCTATTTCATTCATTCCAGACTCTCCGAGAAAGTAAGGGAGGTACAGCAAGCATAAGTGAAGTCTTGAATGGAGGGTACACCTGGTATGCCTGATGTACAGAGCGAGTTGGGGAGAGGACAGGTAGGTTAGGGCCAGCTACAGAAGCATCTTGGCACTGGAAGTATAATGCTGCAGTAATGCATCCTAATCCATAGAGATTCCCACATTCTCCTGGAGGTTTATAGTAGAAAATGTTTCTTAGTTTGCAAAACAAGAGAAATACACCACATAATAAAAAAATAAATAGAAATATATAATATACAAAACCTGATGAAAAATAGTGATATTTTTAGGTATCAACTATCACAGAAGATAAAATGGAATATACCTTATCTTCAAGTTTAAAAAAGAAACAAAAGAAAACAAATTTCATTATCAGAATGGTGAGTTTGAACGTGAAAAGCTAAATGTCTATACATATGTCCGTATTCATTTTGTTAGTAATGAGAATGCAGGCCCTGTGTAGTGATTAGACCCAACATACAGTAAGTGTGATCTCTCTCTGAGAGTTACATAGCATCAGAGGGGGACCCCAGAGGATCCCTGTAGAATGATTCATACACCTCACATTGAAAGCTGCCAACCCCCACTCTGTTTTGATTTAGAGCTATCCACGTCATTCCTTTCTCTTCCTAATCAGTCTTTCTACCTTCCCCCCTTTCATGCAACAATTTTGATTGGGCGAGACAATCTCCCAGTGATAGCCACTGATAAAGAAACGCCAATTAGTCCTAACCAGTTTGGGCCAGACCTGCAAGTTTGCGCACTGGCCCCAACTTCACCCTTGGATGACGTAAGGCCAACCCCCTTCGTTTTAATGCTTTAATCTCCGTCTCCAAGAGAACATGGGTCCACACAACATACATGATGCTCTACTGTGCATGTGAGCTCATCCCCACTTAAACACATGTAGAGATAACCCCGCCCCTTGTTAAGTACATTTAGGCTCCCCAGCTAGCTCATTAAAACCTGTAACTCCCCTCTACTTGGGGAGCTACGGATGGGTCCTGAGATGGGCTCTGGTCTTGGGCAACTCAAAAATAAAAACTCCTTTCTGTTGAATGCTCAAACCTCCCCCTCTCCCCCCAATTGTGTTTCTTTCTCCATTCACAATAGACAAAAACCCTGTGGGTGTTTACCCATTTCAACAAAATAGAGTTCACTTTCTTGGAAAAGAAATGTCAAGGGTCAGATTTACAAAGGTAGAATACAGAAATAATCCCCTATCACTGTCACAATCTATACTTGATCCAAGTTCCCATCCATTATAAAACAAGGGCTGTTAACGCTAATTTCCTCACCAACGACTTTATTTGTTGAAATATGAATACATATTAAATTTTAAAAAATGCCCCCAAAATTCTTGAGTTAGGTTTTGGTACTGTTCAAAATCAGCTGCTGTGTTCCAACAACCCATGACAGCTAAAAATCAAAAATAGCAGAAAATAATAATACAAGAGGCTGATAAATAAACTGAAGAAGACATTTGTATAAATGCACTGAAACTGAGTACATGTATTTTTGTTTTGTTTTGTTTTGTTTTTTGGCTATTATTAAAAATGTAGCAATAAAATAAACCCATTCATTCTGGGCTAAAATAAACTAAAAAAACAGAAACAGAAAAGCGTTTTTAGTAGATTAGTCGTGTTATACTCATGTTTTTGTTTGTTTCTGCTCCATTAATTATTACTATAGAACACATGGCTGCTTATTTCTGTAAATAAAGCTTTATTGTGTACTTCAAGCACATTCGTTTATAAGCTGTTTATGGCTGCTTTCACACTACAGAAGCAGAGTTGAATGGTTGTAACAGAGACCATATGGTCCACAAAGCCTAGAGTGTTTACGATCTGGCTGCTGTGGTGTGGATGTTTGTGTCTCTCCAAAACTGATATGCTGAAATCTTAAACCCCAAAGCGATGGTATTAGGAGGTGGGCCTTTTGGGAGAGGATTAGGTCATGATGATGGAATCCTCATGAATGGGATTAATGCCTCTATAAGGAAGCCCCCAGGGAGGTTATTTTTCCTTTTTCATCATATGAAGACAAGCTTTCTATGAAAAAGGTGGCCCTCACCAGACACCAAATCTTCTGGTGCCTTGATCAGGGAATTCCCAGCCTCCAGACTGTGAGAAATACATTTCTATTCTTTATAAACCACCTCGTTTATGGTATGTTGTCACAGCAGCCCAAACAGACTAAGACACTAGCTTTTTACAGAAAATGTTTGTCCATCCCTGCTATGGAGTATAGCCATTAAGAAAAAAGACCAAGAAGTAGAAGACCAAGAACAAAAAATTATCTTGATAAATATTCGCAAAGGCCCATAACATGCATAAACCCAAATATATCACAAAAGATTTAGGACTAGATTTTGGAAATGAACAGCATATATCACAAAATGCGAGAATAGTAATATGAGAATAAATCCCTGATTTTTCTCATATTAGTCCAGTCTAACAGAAAGCTTTCAGAATTTTGGTTTTAACATTAAAACATTTTCCCCCCAATTCTACCAGGTCGGATCCAACAAATAAACAAACAGTTTAAAAAGACTGATGGCCTCTAATTCTACTAACAATAAAATGTCATAAAAAACAATTTTTATTTTCAACTATTGGAATATGTTACAAATGCATTGCTTTTTTTTCTCGTAGTAAAAAATTCTTAAAGCAAAACAATTTGGAAACACCAAAGGACTAATTATCAAAAGTAATAAAGAATAGCTATACTACATTATGTAAATATTTAAATTATGCCAATGTGTGCTTCGAATGCTTCCGTGAAAAATGAGGCAGAGAAACAGTGCTTAATAAAGATTATAACGGCAATACTTGATTAAAGATGATTTCACCTATAAATATTAAGTACTGTACATTGAATAAGACCCAGAAATGGCAATAAAGTTTATCAACAGATTCTTAAAGATAAATTTAAAAGCTTGGTAGATCATAAGAGTATTACTGGAATAAAAGAACTCTAAATATGCTACAAATTGGAAAAAAAAACACAAACAAAAAATAGACAAAGCAATTGGACTGTAGGAGTTTTAATAAATTTATAGGAATTTTAGCAAAAATTTGAATAACATGGAAATATAGAAAAAAAGAGTTGATACCAAATTAGATGTATGTTATGATTGCAACTATGCAAAATATATTTATTGGTATAAAATACATATTTCAAAAAAGACCAGAAGTTAATACATAAAAATGTTAGTCCTAGCAATTGCTGGATTAATTTACCTCTCCTCCCATATTTCAAAAATTCTATGAAATGAGCATGCATAACTTTTATAGTAAGAAACATATTAAAAAGGACCATGACAATAGGAAGCAATGTCTATTTCCATCTTAATTCTGCCACTAAATCTCAATACTTATTCAATGCATGCAGCCTAGTCAATCCTCAGCCCGTTCTCTGTACAGTATATAATTATAATTTACATTTATAATCTATGGAACAATTCTGTTTATGTCTCCTCTTACACTTCACCTCAGTTACTTGAACTTATTTTCATCCCATAAATTTAGAATAAGCATAAACAAAACCTACCTTCTTGCCACACACGAAACACACAAATTATAGGACTAAGGGTTTATATCAGGACTAAGTTTTATATAGCAATAAACAAGAACAGTTCTCAAGGTAATGTCCATTTAATATGCCTGCTATGCCTTAGGAAGGAAGAGTAATGAGATCTTAGGTTGACTATTCCCAGTTGACTTTATCATTTCCAAATTGTCCTAACATTTCAACCAGATTGTCTCCAAGTACCTCCAACTCACCTTTTCCAAAACTGCACATATTACCTTTTTTTTTTTGTACATATACATATAAAATTGCTTCTCTGGTCCATCATTCCATCAACACTCAAGCTAAAACCTTCAGGTCATTTTTGGATCCTTTTCTACTTTCTCATTTTTCCAAATCTAGTCACTAAACTTCATTAATCCTATGTACATATACATATAAAATTGCTTCTCTGGTCCATCATTCCATCAACACTCAAGCTAAAACCTTCAGGTCACTTTTGGATCCTTTTCTACTTTCTCATTTTTCCAAATCTAGTCACTAAACTTCATTAATCCTATGTCCTAATTTATCTCCTAAATTCATCCCTTCCTTTCACTGCGTAGCCTTATTGCAAAGTTCTTATTACTTCCCAGCCTCCAGTCTCCTCCTCCCTAGGACCATCCTCTAGACCATGGACAGTCATTATCCTAGAACATACATTTAATCAATGTCACCCCCCCCTGCTTAAAGCCATCAATAGCTTCCCATAGTGTTATCAGTCCCTACAGTAGACAGCTCAACTTTCCTTTTACAGCCGTGATTTCCACCTCGTCCTACAAAGAATGATTAATATTTAGGTAAAAGTAGATATATTAGTCATTCCTTGTAGGAGGAGGTGGGAATCATGGCTGTAAATAATATCTACTTTTACC